TATTATTTACAAAGAGAGACTTTTTGACTTACCATTTCCTGTTTATTTCCAGTTCTTCCCTTCCTTGCTTCCTGAGTTCTGTCCTGAGATAAGAAATATTGATAAAGGAGGCAAAGAAAGTAAAACCCATGAATTATTTTAGGTAGTTTTACATTTAAAATATACATATTGTATATTTTTCCAGTGCAATGAAAAGAAGTTCTGTTAATATAACTTTTGTAAACAAATAAAACAAAATAAAAGAATTATATAAAACTAGTATTAATTGTATTTGGATGAAAGCAATAATGGTGATTATATTTTAAACCTTTAGTTCTTTCCATAAATATATAGAAATGAAGCAAAACAATAAATTGTGATTATATTTCTAGGTTTTAGAGCAATTAGTTTCAATTTTCAGTTGAAAGTTATTTCAAGGTCATCTGGTCTAATCTTCTAACCAATGTAAGAATTTCTTTGCAGTATACCTTATCTATGTTTATCAAGTGTTGTCTACATGGAATGATGGATGGGTATGCTGCTGTTTCACAAGATGCACATACATTCCATTTTTGAAAAGTTCTTGTTAGGGTGGGCTTGATGGTACATGCCTCTAATCTCAACTACTCTAGAGGCTTTTGAGATCAAGGAAAGACTAAGAAAGCCTAGCAACAACCTGCTTCAAAATTGAGTTCCTAGAGACACCCACTTCTCTAACTAATATGCTTTGCCCTTCTTCTGCACTATTTCTTTCCTGTATGGTGACTCTGTGGCATGCATTTTATCCTGTGTAATAACCTCTTCAACCAGGAAAACTTCCACATATATTCGTGTCTTAGTACAATGAATGACACAGAGCCTATTTTGTGTGCTAATTAAATACTTATTGAACTGACTTTTTATAAGTAAGTTTTTTATCGTGAAAATACTGTACAGAAGGGTACAATTACATTAGCAAGGTGATGAGTACATTTCTTAACAAAGTTTGTTTTTCAACGTAGCATTTTGTACATCTCATTGTTGCAATAGATCAACCTGTGTCCCTATTTAAACCTGGTCATATTTACAGGCAGCACTAAATCCCAGGGAAGGGAATTCTACAAGGATTTCACTCTTCAGGATTATCTTCCAGAATTGTGCCTATCATAGTTTCTTTTATTTCTTTCCAGTGATCTTCAGTGATTGTGTATAAAGGTAGTTTATATTAATAGCATATAAGACTATATACTTTTTATCTATCAAAGATTTTGTGTTAGGATCAATTCAGACCAAGGAAGAGATCCTTAAAGCTGTCAAGGAGAAAAAAAATCAATCACCTATAAAGGGAAACCAATTAGAATCACCTGAGAATTCTCAGCAGAGACAATCAAAGCAAGAAGAGCCTGGAATGATGTATGCCATACCATAAAGACAAACAACTATCAACCAAGAATATTGTACCCAGCTAAACTCTCCTTCATAACCGAAGGTCAAATAAAAACCTTCCATAGTAAAGACAAATTGAAACAATATATCTCCACCAAACCAGCTCTACAAAAGATGCTTAAAGATGTCCCTCACATAGAAAACCAACAAGAGCACAATAAAGAAACTGCACCCAAACTGAGAATGCAAGAACCATAGGAAGAACCCAGTTGCCCTAGCCTCCAAGAAGGTGGATAAAATGGCAGAAACTCCCAAATACCTCTCAGCCTTATCTCTCAACATTAACGGACTTAACTCTCCAATTAAGCGACATAGACTCTCTAGTTGGATTAAAAAGCAAGATCCTTCTATCTGCTGCCTTCAGGAGTCACATCTTGCCCATAAAAACAAACACATTTTCAATGTGAAAGGCTGGAACAAAATTTACCAGAAAACAGCCCCCATAAACAAGCAGGAGTTACAATCCTAATATCAGATAAAATAGACTTCAAATTAAAATTAGTGAGAAGAGATAAAGAAGGTCGCTACATACTAATTAAGGGATCTCTCCTTCAGGAGGATATTACAATTCTAAATATCTATTCACCAAACAACGGAGCACCCAAATATATCCAAGAAACACTATTTTCCCTCAAATCCCACATAGATCCAAAGACATTAATTGTTGGGGACTTTTACACACCACTTTCTCTACTAGATAGATCAACTTAGCAAAAACTCAACAGAGAAACCGCAGATCTAAACAACTGCATAGATCAATGATATTTAACAGACATCTACCGAATTTCACCCAGCAACATCAGATTACACGTTTTTCTCAGCAGCACATGGGACATTTTCCAAAATAGACCAAATTTTAGGCCACAAAGCAAACTTGTCCAAATTCAGAAACATTGAAGTTATATCTTGCATTCTCTCAGACCACAAGAGAATAAAATTAGAACTCAACACCAAAAGCCACCAAAGAAAGTCTTGTAACACATGGAGGCTGAACAACACACTGCTGAATCACAAGTGGGTCATGGAAGAGATTAGAAAGGAAATTCAAATATTCATGATATTCAACAAAAATGAACACACAAATTACCAGCTCCTCTAGGACACAGCAAAGGCAGTACTCAGAGGCAAGTTCTTACATCAACAAATCAGAGAGATCTGAAACCAACAATTTAATGAGACATCTGCGCCTCCTTGAAAAAGAGCAGCAAGGAAGAGGTTACAGTGCTTGATAAGAAATGTACTCATTATCTTGCCCATGTAATTGGAACCCCTCTGTACAGTATTTTCACAATTAAAAAAAAGATTTTGTGCCGGGCGCTGGTGGCTCACGCCTGTAATCCTAGCTACTCAGGAGGCTGAGATCTGAGGATCGCGGTTCAAAGCCAGCCCGGGCAGGAGAGACCGTGAGACTCCTATCTCCAATAAACCACCAGAAAACCGGAAGTGGCGCTGTAGCTCAAGTGGTAGAGCGCTCGCCTTGAGCTGAAGAGCTGAGGGACAGCGCCCAGGCCCAGAGTTCAAGCCCCACTACCGACAAAAAAAAAAAAAAGATTTTGTGCTATCAAAAGGCAGTATGAATTTGAATGGAAAAATAATCTCAGCATCTGCCTGATGGGAAAAAGAAGAAATATAGAGAAAAACAACCCAGATACAAAGAAGCTTTTTAAACACATTGTAATTGTAATGTATTTTTACTTAGTAATGTGAAATCCAGTATTTCCTTATCACAATTATCTAATTCAGTGGTTTCCTTAATTAGCATTGTTCTACTCAGTGCTTCCAAAGTTACAGAAGATGTGGAACACCACACATTTATTCAACTCACTGAAACATTTGTGAAGAATTTTTTGTTTCCTTGAAATATGTCTTACTTTCTCAGAGTTTAGTTTTCTTCCTTCCAAAAAGATATCAATCTTTCTCTCCATCTCTGGGATGGATCATATCCCAACTTAATTTATAAGTCATATAAACATACAAATCTCTGGTCCTGCAGGATTTTCCCCAAATCTTGATCTTTATTTAAGCAAACATCATCTTTTTTTAAATTTAAATTTTATTTGAAAGGTGATTTACAGCAGGGTTACAATTATGTGATTAAGGTAATGAGTAAATTTCTTTTTGAACAGTGTTATCCCCTCTTTCATTTTTTCCCACTTCCCACCCTCTTCCCTAACTGTAAAGTTCATTTCCAAAACAGTGCCTAGTGAGTATCACTATTGAATTGGTTCACCCTTTGTCCCACTGTTTCTGTGATTCCTCTTCCCTTCTCCAAATCAGATAAACTTATAATCAAGACAAAGGGTACAGAAATAAAACAGAGAATAAAACAAAGGAAAAAAGAAAGAAAAAGTAATAACTGAAAACAGTACAATAAAAATAACTCGTTTCCATTTCTTGGAGTTCATTTCGATAAGCATCATTTTATATGGTCATATGCACATAGCTATTGAACCGTTGTAATCCTGTGCTAAGAATATCCTAGACATAGTCTAGTTATTACAAATGAGGGAAACTATGCAACCTATGTTTCTTTGAGTCTGGCTTACTTTGCATAATATAATTTTTTCCAAGTCTTTCCATTCCCTTATGAGTTGGGCACAAACATCATCTTTTAATACTATTTTGGATTTTGGAATTAGGGGAAATGATAAATAAATAAATAAACAAATATAAGTGATAAATTGGTTAACACATTTAAAAAATTATTTTCTGTGATATAAAATGAAACAAACTTTCAATTGGAAAAATGAATGAAATTTGACCCAAAAGTGCTTGGTATAACAGAAAAATGAGTTTATATATGTTTGAAATATGATGAACATGCTTGTTTCGTCAAGTTTGATACAGTTGTAGACTTGCATTTGCTGTAGATATTTTATAAACCCTGAATCATAGGTGACTTGGTAGGGCAGAAATGTGATAAAAGTTTGTACTAAAGAAATAATCTATTTCCTGGTGCTGGTAGGCTCACATCTGTAACCCTAGCTACCTAGGAGGTTAAGATCTGAGGACTGCAGTTCAAAACCAGCCTAGGCAGGAGAGTTCATGGGATTCAATTAGCTTCAATTCACCACCAATATAGTTGGAAGTGGAGGTTTGGCTCAAGTGGTAGAGTGATAGCCTCGAGCAAAACAAAACAAAACCCAAGGGACAGCAATCAAGCCTAGGACCAGCAGAAATAAAAAAAAATGACTTAAGTTTAATTTTGCTGTAAATATTTGTTAGAAATATCTCAGGATATTAGGGTATCACGTAGGACTAAAGAATAAGGATAACAACTCAAAAGGGACCCAAGAAGGCAAAGTTTACTTCTGCAAAAGGGTGCACCATCAGACAATTTGTCATATTTTGTGCAAACGTATACACTTCAATTTATGTCTGGAAAAATGTGGAACTAAACCTTCCATTTTCAAATCTCTTCTTTTTATATTGGAATCAGAGGTTGGGAAAATCATTATTGGAATGATTTTTAAAATTTGAATATCCACACATAAGCTAGTTGGCCTAACAAATAGTCAATTGGTCTTAAGGGATGTAATTCAAAAAAGGACAAAGTGTTCTTTGGGGGTTTTATAACCATCAGTGTCGGTGTGAGCCTAATGACATATCATATGTATGATGACTAACATGAGAAGAAAGAGCAAAATGACAGCACAGATACTTTTGTCCAAAAACAGACTAGTAGAGGAGAATCCAGACTGTACGAGCACACGTGTTTTCAGGGGTTTAAGGATTCGATCTCTTTGAGTGAGGATGGCTCTGCGGGCTCCAGTCCATTTCCCAGGTCCCTGTACACGGTACTGGTAAGGGGTGCAGGGCCCAAAGAACATCTCCATGGCTAGTTTTGTATCCCAGATGAGGAGAGAGAACAAGTTGGGCTTGACTCCTATCTCAGAAGCAATTTCATCCATGTAGCAGATATATCGCACTCGACGTGGGTTTCCTGGTATTTTCACACACCTGGCACAGAAAGAAAATACCAGGAGTTCTAGGTCAGAATTTAGTCACTTTGTTTCCTGAGTTCCCAATGGATTTTTATTTCTGTTTTGTTTAGTGACTTCATTATTTTCTACTTACTAAATTATCTTAAGTTCATACATTTGCCTTGGTTTCTTTAGAATATTGTAGTCTTTAAATACAAGATGTAATTCCCCAAGTGTTTTAAAGTTCCAGTATGTACAAATTATTGTGTGGATGAAGTCTTAGATATAAATTTCCATTCCAAACACAAGATTCAGTTGCATTGAATAAATTTTCAAATAGTAAAGACTGTATGAATAAAGGAATATTGAACTCTATTTCTGACTTTATGTTTCCAAGTTATGTGAAATATGTTTTGTATGTACTGATTCTGTATAGAAATTCTTCCTCTGAATACTCCTAGACTAGTATAAATGCTTGCTTTCTTATAACTTGTTCTATATACTTGGGAATTAAAAGTCACCACTAAATGAGTCTTTAGTAAAAGAAAGAAAAAACTTGATAAAATAATAAGAATCAAGACAATTTAATAAGACAATTTAAAAGATAAATTAGAATGAACCAACCTGTCAGAAGAATTAGGTAAATACTTTTGTATATACTTCCATACCTCTCAATGTATTAGGCGTTTGTAAGCTAAATCTCGCTTTCACATATAAGGGAAAACATGGATCCTTTGTCTCTCTGGGCCTGATTTGTTTCACTTAACATAATTTTTCCAAGTCTTTCCATTTCTCTACAAATGGTACAATATCATTCTTTCTAGTAGATGAATAAAATTCTATTGTATATACATGTCACATTTTCTTGATCTGCTCATCCATTGAAGGGCATCTGGCCTGATTCCATTCTTTGGTTATGGTGAATAGTGCTGCAATAAACACGGTTATGCTGGTGTCTTTACTTAAATACAGTAGATTCAAGGGAGATCCCAAATAGTGTAATTCCTTACATAGCCAAAATTAAACTTCAGCAAAATAAACCACCAGGAAGCAGGTACTTGAAAGACATAGGGTGGCATCAAGAGGATAGGGATAGGCAAATGAAGAGAAGAGGAGGGTTAATGAATATCCTACAAAATTATGAGGAGTGGGTATGTAAGGAAAGAATGTGTGCAAATGTTGAAAGGGGTGACATTGATCAAGATAGGCTGTATTTATAAACAGCTTTGTTAAATGGTAATGACTTAAAATAATTTATTTTGTTAAATGTACAACTACCTAAAATAATAAAAAAAATAGTGATAAAAAAGACCTAGGTGGAAAGAAACATAAATTAATGTTAAGGAAAGCAGTACCAGACATACATTACTAAATTCTTGAATTTGGAAAAAAGAATTAAATCTTAAAGACAATTATTTTAAAAAGTAGAAATATAAACCAGTAAGGTATTTTATACAAAGATAAGGAGGTAGATTGAAGAAATGGGAAAAAAAAATAATAGATGACAACATGCTTAAAGTTTTCAAAATTAGGGGTCTGGGAAGGTGGCTCAGTGGTAGAGCGCTTGCCTTGCATACATGAGGCCCTGGGTTCGTTTCCTCACCACATAAGCAAAAAGAAAAAAACCGGAAGTGGCGCTATGGCTCAAGTGGTAGAGTGCTAGCCTTGAGCTGAAGAGCTGAGGGACAGCGCCCAGGCCCAGAGTTCAGGCCCCACAACCGGACCCCCTCCCAAAAAAAGTTTTCAAAATTAAATCACAATTATAAGGTTTATTTAAACATGTATTTTTTTACATTTGGTATGAGAATAAAAATGCAACTTGATGAAAATAGTAGGAAAATATGGTATTCAAATCCTTTCTTAAATAACTACTAAAATCTAACAATGATTTATTTCAAATACTCAAGTAGCATAAAGCTTCCATCCTATTAAACTCTAAGTAGTTGCCAAATATGCAAAATCAGCATTCATTCATTTTGTAAGACTACTATAAACATGAAAATATAACAAAAATTAAAAAAGATGGAAAGAAAAGGAAAACCACAGGCTATTTACAAAAGCTGTAAAAGTTATAATTGAAGTTCTATCAAGTAAAATTGAATGGTATTTAAAATAATCATAAACAATGATCAAGAAATATTAGTAACGGTGCTGGGAAGGTGGCTCAGTGGTAGAGCACTTGCCTTGCATGCATGAGGCCCTGGGTTTGATTCCTCAGCACCACATAAGCAAATAAAAAAAAGAAATATCAGTAAGTACTTAGTATTAGGAAATATATTATTATAAGTCATCCATCAGCATGTTAATGGTAGAAACAGAGAAGTTATTATAGAATATGGGAAAGACATTATTTTTTGTATAAGATAGCAAGATAAGGACACTTAATCAATCTCAGTAGACAATACCAAAGTTAAAGTTGGACAACTCAAAGGGAACTGCACAAAATTGAAAATATAACAAAAATACTGATATTCTCTATTATCGAAAACTACCTTTAAAATAAAATGATATAGGGAAAAATAAAATGATGTAAATATAGGAAAGGAAATAAAATTTATTTTCATTATCTACTTACTGAACCTAATAAAATAAATATAATGTAACAACAAAAAGGAGTAAGGTCTGAGTACAAAATAGTCCTATGAGCCAGGTGTCAGGGCTCATGCCTGTAACCCTAGCTACTTAGGATGCTGAGATCTGAGGATCACAGTTCAAAGCCAGCCCAAGCAGGGAAGTCCATGAGATTCTTATCGCTAATAAACCACCAGAAAACTGGAAGTGGCACTGTAGCTCAAGTGGTAGAGTGCTAGTGTTGAGCTGAAGAGCTCAGGGGTTGAGTTCAAGCCCCACGACTGACAAAAAAAAAAATCATATATAAAAGAATAATAAAAGAATAACTTGGGGAGGGAAGGGATGGTAGGGGAAAAACAAAGGAGTAAGTAACAATGTTGGATAGGAAATGTACTCATTACTCATGTAACTGTAACCCTCTGTACACTGTTTTTACAACAAAAATGTATTTAAAAAGAATAGCTTTCCTAAAGCATGGAAATTATTAATTAGAAATTATGAAGGGAAATCCTATTTTTTTTTGGGGGGGGTCTGGTCGTGGGGCCTGAACTCTGGGCCTGGGTGCTATCCTTCAGCTCTTCAGCTCAAGGCTAGCGCTCTACCACTTGAGCCACAGCACCACTTCTGGCTTTTTTCTTTTTGCTTATGTGGTTCTGGGGAATTGAACCCAGGGCCTCATGCATTATCTCAAAAGATCTTATTTTGGTACAAATGAAGAAAGACAAATGTATACATAATGTAAATATACATTCAAAAAGAGAAACATCAAATAGCCTTTTCTTAACAAGTTTTTTTTTTTACTTTATCCAAAAATTGGTTTTCTTACTCATTTTCAAGTTGTTTTTTCCTTTTGTTGATTTCAGCCAGCATGTCACTCAGTGAGGGTAATTGCTTCAGTCCTGAAAAAAGAAAGATAGAGAAATTCAAGACTATCAGGATAGCTGAGGGAGACAAGTAAACAAAGAGAGTGGTTTTGAAAGAGTTATATCTAAGCAAGTCTTTATGGCACTCATGGTTAAAGGCCTAAATAAAAAAATTCCAAGGAAGAAAATTTTCTTTATATCATTCTCAAGTTTTCAGGAAATAAGATACCTTTTCCTTAAGGGAAAGGAGGTTTTGAATCATTTTTTCAGTTGACTCTAAAATAAAAATTCTTGAATATGAGGAATTCTCCTTAGAATGTATTTTAACTTTCTAGAGACCTTTGAACTATACTATGACCTGACAACAAGTCCCTTTCTTATTTGAACATGGTCTAACTTTGAGATTAAGTCCCAAATATACTTTTTCTCAATCTGTATAGTGGTTGTAAACATCTTAGTTTTTGTATAGTATTCAGTAATGGAAATGGTCCCAAGAGAGTAATAACTGCAATTGGTAAGAGAAGAGCAAAGAATATAAAAAAGAAAGTTATGTATGTGTGAATGTGAACATTGGAAATGGAAATGACAACAAAATGAGAAAGACACAATAACACCAGGTGACAGAAAAGAAGTAGGCCCATGATTTCTGAGTTATTTCCCTTCTCATATGGCCAACACTATATCATCAATTTGTCATCTTTGATTTGAGTCATTTGTTGTTGCTCATATTCCTAGTAAATGTATCATTATTTTTATATAAGATACCAGCAAAGAAACAACATATCTGCTAGAAAATATGCAAGACATGCAAAAGTAAACCAACATACTAAACTGGAGATATGCTGAGGAGAGATTTTAATGACAATCAAGTATTACCTGACTTCCCTCAGGGAATATTTATACAACTTCAGAAAATGAAAGAGATAAGACAGAGAATCAGCTAAAGTCACCTGGATTTATGTCCAAGTTCACTTCTGAAAGGGAGGACTCAAAATATTTTTGACCAACTGGTAAATTTATGTCTCACTATGTAGAGGACTGAATAAGGGGATCCTTTGTGTAATCATCCAGGGAAGACAGAATCTTCCTAGAGTTGAGGAATGTGTAGCCTGCAGGCTGTAAATGTCCTAAAAAGTCGCTTAGTACAGAACAGGGTAGATACATATGCTTTTCCTTGGATGCCCATGGCTTATCTGGCTGTGTTGATAATTTTGCAGATGATGTTGTGAATATTCAAATGGCCCTTGGCAGAAAAATTAAAGAAGATTCCCCACCCATGACAGAGCACAGGACTTCAGGGAAAAGGCTATACATAATCAATCAATTTACTCTGATGCTCAGATATTACAATAAAGAAAATTCAGCTTTCATCCTAATAAATAAAAAACCAGGGAAATACAGCAAAAAGAAGTAGGTCTATTATTCCTGGCTCTCTCTCTCTCTCTCTCTAGATATATCTATATATATAGATATACATAGATATATATGGATATATACTCTTTCTCTATATATATAAAGAGTATATATCCATATATATCTATATATATATACTCAGAAGCATCAATTTGGGTGAGAACTTGGGAAATGAGATAAAAACACGAATCATTTGGCAATAGAAAGCAAAGAAACTTAACTGCCATTTAAAATTATTCCCATAGACATATTTCCCCCATTTGTTTCCCTTCCTTGATCTTATTCTGTTTCTATAAAGCTCGATCCTAAATTGAGATTTTTCTGAACCAAATCAAATATTCAAATGTAACCTGATTCTAATTTTGCATGTTCTAAATTTAATTCATTAAATGCTTTCATCTTCCACTAGAACTTTCACAGAGCTTAAAATCACCTTTTGTATAGTATGATTAATTTCTAGTGGTGAAATTTCAGAAAACTTAACAGGGGAAGGGGAAAAACAAATTGAACAGAAGACCTATAAGTTAGAATTAAGAATTAAGAATTTATTCGATTCATGAGAAGATCAACATATACCTGCAAATACACGGACAGCCCATCGGCTCTGCAGTTCTGATGTGGGGATGGTAGCTCCTGCTGGTTGGAGGAGGCCAATAAAAGCTAGTGTTGGCTTCTCTAGCTGAGGGGGGAAGACACATTTAAACAGGGAGTGCAGGTTATCCAGGATAGCTTCATCCTCCAAGAAAGGGAAAGAGAAGGTGTAGCCCGTGGCAAAGACAACAGCATCAATGTTCTCTTCCGTTCCATCCTCAAAGATGGCCGATGTCTCAGTGAACTCCTTCACATTTGGTTTCATCAGCACTCTTCCACTAATTATTTGATTCGGCAGCTCATCACTGATAACTATTGGATAGCTAAAAATTCTGCATGATAAGGAATGTAATGTCAAGAAGTGAATATGAATATTCTTTGTTAAGAAATTGTGGTTATGTTTTACTCTTGCATATGGCATCTTTGGAAAGGATCAAGTAAATTTATTATACTTATTAGTTTAGCACTTCATTGTCAGAATCACAACAGAATATCAAAAAGTGGTTCTACCTTTTACCCAGTGTGAAACTTTGGGCAAGTCATGAAACATGTTAGACCCAGTTTCCTAAGCTGTAAAGCTATAATAATGACATAACAACCAGTTCAGATTGCACTAAATAGGTGCTATTGCAAACTAAATATAATTAGTTCATCATAATTTTTAACAGAAACAAGATGTTTTTATGTTTGACATATTTATTTGCTTTTGCTATCATGTAAGGTTAATATTAGTTGATCATTAATATTTTTAAAGACCTCTAAAATGCAACTACAACATTCTAAGAACAAATCTCCAATGGAAAAACTTAGTGCTCAATGATGCAAAGATCTTTCATAACTACAATTGAAAGTCTGTATTATAAATTGCCACCAGGAAATCACAGTTTCAGTTTCTATTGCTACTATTATTAAGTGTATCTCTTATATTCTAAATATTTTCATAGAAGATCCCAGAGTCACACATACCACCTCAGCTAATTATGAAGCTCTGTAAGCCTTTTTTCCAGATACTTAAAATTATTTTTCTGTTTTTACCACCCACTTATTATTTTGCCTGAAGAAAGAACATTAATAGAGCTGTGGAATATATCACAATTTTTGGTGATAAGTTGTGGGATGGCTAAGGATAAGGACTATGGAAATGGAAGAGGTCAAGGGGTTGTATGATATGAGTGTGGGGGTGGTTATACAATTGGATAGTTGTTTTTTTTTTTCTTCCAGTCTTGGGGCTGGAACTAAGAGCCTGGTTGCTATTCCAGAGCTTTTTTTGCTCAAGGTCAGTGTTCTACCACTTGAGTCACAGTTCCACTTGTAGGTTTTTTGGGGGGAGGGAGGTAGTTTATTGGAGATAAGAGCCTCACAGACTTTCCTGCCCAGGCTGACTTTGAACTGTGATCCTCAGAACTCAGCCTCCTGAGTACCTAGGATTACAAGAGTGAGTGACCCGTGCCACTCAGTGATCTAGTTTTGAATCTAGAGAGTAAAGAGGAAATAGCTGAAAGGTGGAATAGTGACATGATATAAATCTGATATAAAACAAGGTTTTAAGCTTCTGTTAACTCACCCTATGCACCTTTTCCTTACACCTTAATGGAAAAACCAAGAGCTCCCACTAGGAAATCAAATGCTTAGCTATTCCTCAGCAAGATAAATTCTAGTAAAAATAAAAATGGCAAACTTTATTCATTATGCTAGTCATTTATTTTGTAGATTCTGCTGAATGGGCCAGTATTTAAACATACTGTGGCTTGTCTGAAGTCTTTAGCCTTACCTGTGTGTAGTTTCTAGTCCGTAGTTGGCATGGTTAAACCTTGCATTTAATTTATTCTCTGTCCATTTTTTGGTCAAGAATGTGGGACATAATTTTTGGAGTGTTCTTTTGTATCGAGTAAAGAGTGTAGCATCCATGGGGTTTCCATTATCCCAAACCCGGTTCCATACCCATGCACCTCGCCTTGTGCTGAGGAAAACCTGTGAGAGAAAAAAGGATGGCACAGTAAAAATTTGGTTGCTAATATCCCACCACTCCCATATTCTCAGAGTATCTTTTCAGTTATCCTGGGAATAGGATTAATTTATCACCTCACCTGTATACCTGTCTGCTTCCTGTCCTCTTTCTTCACTCTTATTCACAAGCTAAGTTACTTGGAATCATTTGAATTCACTTAGTTTATCATGAACCTATTCCAATTGTACTGTTTACCCTAGCTATGCTAAGATGTATGGAATCTTTTAGGTCCAAGAATAGGGAAAACATTTTTTAACACAAATAAATTATTATTTTAGGAATTAGAAGTTAGAATCCTAGTTTCCTAAAATTTCTTTAATTTTAAATTTCAGAATGATGGTGAGTACATGAATATACCTAAATACAAGTTTTTAATAACAACAAAATAAATTCCTGTGGGGAATTTTCTCATATTAACTAATGGAAGTTTCCATTTAAACACATTATAGTGCATGAAGAATAAGATATGCCTACTGAGAATTATTTTACTCTTTATTTTGAGGTATTTTGCTCAGACCTTGAGAAAATGTTGAAACTTTTTTTCTACTTATTTGTGCCAGTGAGACTATAGTTTTCTATTTATTTGTGCCAGTCCCCAGGATTGAACTTGGGGCCTAGTGCTCTTACTTGACTTCCTTGCAGAAGTTTGGTTCTCTACCACTAGAGCCACACACACTTTTAGTCTGGGTGGAGCTTTTTAATGAAAACACAATCACTAGCTTCTGAGGCAACAATCACAATGATCTGTGACACCTCTCAGAGTCACAGAAATGTTGATCTTGTTAAAGACCTTCAAAACAGTTGGTTGTAAAACAGTTGTACATTTATTGGAAATCATGTCTTTTCTAGCTGGGGATCCAGGATCAAAACCAAAAATTAATTTTGAATTGTGGAAAGTGGTCTGTATTCTTACGTTTTGTTTCGTGTGTGTGTGTGTGTGTGTGTGTGTGTGTGTGTGTGAGTGTGTGTGTGCATATGTGTCTATATGGGGCTTGAACATAGTTCCCAGCTTCTTGGCTAGCTTTTCACTTTCCTCTTACTGCTAGAACTCTCTCACTTGAGCCACACCTCGATTAATTGGAGATAAAGCCTGGAGGACTTTTCTGACTGTTGTTGGCCTTGAAACAAGATCCTCAGACCTCACCCTCCAGAATAGCCAGGATTACAGGCAGGAGCCACTGACACCTGGCTCCTTCCCTGCTCTTCAGTGGTCAACAACATTAGTGCACAGAGGAAATATCTTTTCTTTACCTGTTCTTTATTTTCTTACATCTGTGGGAGCACAATGCATTTCTGCTCTATTCCAGGCCACTTATTTATAGATCAACAGTTCAGTTTTACCCAGGCTTGTGTATATTATATACTACTTCTATTTTATTACTAATATTAATATTTGGTACTTTCTGTAGAATTAATTTCAGCTTAAAAATTCCATTTCTCTAGTGTAATGATACCTGAGAAATAACCTATATTTTAAAATCAGCACAGAAATGGTGGGACAAAGGGTGAACTAATGCAGCAGTGATACTCACTAGACATTATGTTGAAATGAACCATACAAGTCATGGGGGAGGGAGGAAGGGTGGGGAAAAATGGGAGAAAATGAGGCAAGAGGTGTTACTGTTCAAAAAAGAAATGTACTGATTACTTGACTTGTATAACTATAACCACTTTGTATATCATCTTTCCAATAAAAATAAAAGAAAATAAAATCAGTAACAGTTAGTTGTACAAAGAGGCATCATTTTGACATGTCCATATTTGACATCAATGTACTTTGATCAGACTTTAATCTCTTCATCCCAAACCAATCCCAACAAGCTTTATTATTCAATTTTCAAGTATGCAATAAAATATTTCAACCGTAATCTGGCTAGTTCTGTTATCTGGCTGCAGTTTTAATTACTTTTTTCCATGATCATGACTGATATTCATTATGATAGAATGATTTTCTGTTTTCTGATTTTCTGTGTTCTTTTACTCACGTAAAGTCAGAATTAAAATGTGCCATTTCTTTGTTGAATTAGCTAGCAGTCAAAACCAAGATACTACCATTAAACCAACAACAAAAGTCAAAATCCTATGGCCCATACTCTCCAGTTGTGAAGCTTACACCCAAGAACAGAATCAGTGTATAATGCCAAACCTGCTCAGCAACACGACTGATCTCCCCAGCCACATCAGCTCCAGAATTCCCAGTGCCAATCACAACCACTCTCTTCCCCACAAAATCATCTGGGTGCTTGTACTTCCAACTGTGGAGGTATTTGCCTTTGAACTTGTTGATCCCTGTGAAGCAAGATCCAAAGCTCTCAAATTACTAAGAGAACTGGGATAGGCTGCTGTCAACATTTATTTCCAAATCTGAAGTACATAATACTTAAATCCCTTCTTTCTTCTTGGGGTCACTGCTACCAATATTACAGAATGAGATTACCCAAGGAACGGAATAATCACTGACAGTAATAATCTGGCTAAAACCAAAATCAACGCATACTAGTTTCTTGATTTTAAATTTTCTCAACATGATTACTCATGTCATTTTATGTTATTGTCTTTTTCTTATCTTTATTTACATATTCCCTTTTTGTAACTCTGTGAGAAAACTCACAAATAGGTAAATATTCTTAGCAATAAGTAGTAGTGCTTTCTTTATTTACATATTCCCTTTTTGTAACTCTGTGAGAAAACTCACAAATAGGTAAATATTCTTAGCAATAAGTAGTAGTGCTGTCTAAAGAATTTTCAAAATATATAGTCAATTTTGAAGTTTATAGTAGACCTATAAAATGTGTAAAAAAGACAGTAATAAAATTATATATTTTATTTAATTCAAGGTAATCTGAAATATTAGTATATAATCAACACATGAGGTTTATAATAAGCTGCTTTATATATTCTTATTATGCATTCTAAATCTGGTGTATGTGTGACAATCAAAACATATATTAATTGGTAGAATTCACATTTAATGTGCTAAATAATGGCACTTGGCTAATGGATATGAGCTGGGAATATTAGAGGTTTCAATGTATTATAAAGAATAATATTCTGAGTGCTAGTGGCTCATGCCTGTAATCCTAGCTACTTAGGAGGCTGAGATTTGAGTATACAGCCTAGGTAGGAAAGTGTGTAAGACTCTTATCTCCAATTAACCATAAGACATAGAGCACTAGCTTTGAGCAAAAAGAGCTCAGGGACAGCGCCCAGGCCCTGAATTCAAGTCCCATGACTGATAGGACAAAAAAAATAATATTGATTATATTTTAGTAACAATATATGATAATAGTGATATACATTTAGAATTACGTTCTGTATTTTCTGTCATTTTTCAGTAAGTCAATAGCCTCATTTTCCTTAATCCTACCAGCATCACTTCAAACCTCCATTATCATCTGTTAAATATACTATTTAAAAATTCTAACTGGTGCCAGACACCAGTGGCTCACGCCTGTAATCCTAGCTACTCAGGAGGCTGAGATCTGAGGATCACAGCTCAAAGCCAGCCTGGGCAAGAAAAACTGTGCAACTCTTATCTCCAATAAACAATCAGAAAACTGGAAGTGATGCTGTGGCTCAAGTGGTAGAGTGTTAGCCTTGAGCTAAAGAGCGGAGGGACAGTGCTCAGGCCCAGAGTTCAAGCCCCAGGATTGACAAACAAAACAAAACAAAAAAACTTCTAACTGGCATTGCTGATTTGATCTTCCTCCTTATCCATTTATCATCTGAAGCCCTGAAAGACTCATCTTATAAGATACAAAAACAATCACATATTTGTACTCTACACATACTACACATACATGCATGTACACTTACACACAAGCAAACACATACACAATAGAGTAGTTTTCCATGGACTTTGTATACTTTTCCCTGTCCACCCACTTGGTATACATCAAATGTGTGCCATTTCTTAAACTTCTTCAAGCCATTTCACACTCTGCTACTTTTCACAGTCTGCTTCATTCAATGAAGGGCCTGTTTTTAGGCCCTGTTTGCCTGAAAAAAAATTCAGTTCCAGTGCTATTTTCACTATCAGCTCTTTCTTGACGGTTCTAGAAAAGCACTATATGTTCATTTGTATCCACACTGTGTGATATAAACACTTTCTGTTTAATGCATAGGATAGAACAGATATTAAAATTGTTAATATCTAAAGAATATATATGTTAATATCTAAAGAATATATTATTTACCTGCAAAATCCTGTAGTGGAAAATGCTTTTTATTAAAATGACCACTGCAGATCATAATTCCATCAAAGATATAGGCTTTCTGCTTCCCATCAGCTTCTGCCACAACTTTCCATTGGCCAGAGGATGAAAAATCAGGACTCTTCCTCACACTGCACACCTTTGTCTGGGGGAAACAAAGAACAAAGGTAGACTTAGTTCTAGAGCATTGTTCTCATCTTCATTATTTTTTCTAAGAATTCTATACCTTGAAAAAATAAAGCGAGTTTTACCCTCTGTATAGTTCCTGTATCTTTATGTGTTTTGTGTAAATAATCCTCCCCAAAATGTCATTTACCAATCAAAAAACTTTGGAAAATAAAATCTAATACTTCAGATGCTGGAGGGGATGTGGACAGAAGGGAACCTTACTGCATTGTTGGTGGGAGTGTAAACTTGTTCAACCACTTTGGAAAGTAGTATGGAGGTTCCTCAAAAGACTCCACATAGAGCTCCCCTATGACCCAGCCATCCCACTTTGGGGCATTTACCCAAATGTTTACAAACAAGACCATACTAAAGCTACCAGCACAACTATGTTTATTGCAGCATTATTTACCATAGCTAAGATCTGGAACCAACCCAGATGCCCCTCAGTAGATGAATGGATCAAGAAAATGTGGTATATATACACAAGGGAGTTCTATGCCTCCATCAGAAAGAATGACATTGCCCCATTTGTTAGGAAATGGAAAAACTTGGAAAAAATTATATTAAGTGAAGTAAGCCAGGCCCAAAGAAACATAAGTCCCATGGTTTCCCTTATTTGCAATATCTAGTATATGTATGAGTCAAGCAGAAAAGGTCAGATAAGGTGAAGTTAGGAAAATGAACCCTAAGATACGTATTTAAATGTTTTTTCTTTCATGCATTTGTTTCTAACTCATTTATAAGATTATTACTTTGTTGCTTTGTATGTCCCTCCCCCACAGTATAACCCCTGCTTTCACTGTATTTGATGTCAGTATAATTTGTGGAGGGGAAGGGGAAAAACAAGTCGTTTAAATAAGGATACAAGTGGACCTGTTGCAACAATGGTAAGTACAAGTTGTCATGTCGAAAACGAACTTTACAACTTCAGTGTGTGTGGGGGGGAGGATTGGGTGAGGGGCAGGGGGAGGCTGGGAAGGGATGGGAAGGGTAAACAAAGGAGGAGGCTACAATGCTTGATAAGAAATGTACTCACTATCTTGCCCATGTAATTGTAACCCCTCTGTACAGTATTTTCACAATAAAAAATAAAAAAAATAAATATTGATTTCAAAAAGTAAAAAAAATCTAATACTTCTACTTCCTATATATTACAGTCCTTTCAATAAATTGAATTGAAAACTAGATTTCAGGTTCAAACCTGAGAAGATGCTCCACCTGGAGTGAGGATGGGAGGCTAAGGCAGAAACGAATATTTACTAATAATGAGAATGAAGAAGACATGATATCGCATTCAGAATTCTAGTGGAAAATGGAAATCAAAACCATGCCTCAGTTTTCTCTGGCAGTTTGGACTTTGTCTTTATCAATGTGCAGAGGGTGAGCAGAATTTTTTTCTCCTTACTTGGAACTGGATGTATTTTATAAGTCCAAAATGATTGGAATACATCCTAATATACTCCATCATTTTGGAATGGTGCAAGTAGTTGGGATAATGATCAGGCATAGGGTAGTCACTGAAGGCTGTCATCTCCTTGGAGGTGTTGCAGGTCAAAGATTTGTATATCCCAGGAATTCTACTCTTTGGTGTTTCCTGTAAGAAACAAAACCATGCCTTTCAGGATCTAAGAGCACAATGAAGATTGCCTTTGAAATGATTGTATTTGTGATGTTGGATTTATTTTTCTTTTAAAAACCCTTGTTTGATAATGTTTTTGTAATATTGATCAACAAAACTAAAACATTAATTTCAAGGTTCTTTTGTATTTGTATCTATTTGTACTGACAGAGTCAATGTCATAGCAGTTATTGCTTCACAATGGAAAAATTATTATAAGCACTAAGAGTGTAGACAATAAATGAATAATGTAAAGAAACACCCATGGGGTGTTGGGAAGAAAAACTATTAAAGGACAAAATCAACCTCACAATGAAAGGAATTGTCTTAAAGAGAAGGCATGGGAGACTGGGGGAAAGCATTAAAGATTTTTGGTTTAAAAATTTATGCAAATACATGCTATGCTAAAATATTAGATGATAATTATGACAACAGTTAAATATATACAATGAGCTCTCAGAAACAGTTGCTTTTTATAAAACATGCATTATATTTTAGTAAGACCCATGGATGCTAAGACTACACAAGTGGTTTTATTGTTTTTGCTGTTGTTTCTAATGTATTTATAATGTACTGTGTGATTTTTTTTGTTTCTTTTGTATGTTCGCCCCCCCCATGGTATAACCCCTGTTTTCACTATATTTGATTCCAGTGCCCTGCATCTTGTATATACCTTTCTCTAATTTGGGGAGGGGAAAGGAAATAACAAAATGCTGAAATAAGGATACAAGTTGACAATGAAATGTACACCATGTTGAAAACGAACTTCACAACTTCGGAGGGGGAGAGGGAGGAATTGGGGTGGTGGGGAGGAAAGGGATGGTAGGGGAAAAACAAAGGAGTAGGTAACAATGATAGATAGGATATATGCTCATGTAACCCCTCTGTACAGTATTTTTTCAATAAAAATATACACAGAAAAAAAAGACTACACTTTCCACTGGGTGCTGGTGGCTAATGCCTCGAATCCTGGCTACTCAGGTGGCTGAGATAGGAGGATTGCATCCATGAGACTCTTACCTTCAATTAACCACCAAAAAAAGTGGAAGTGAAACTGTGGCTCAAGTAGTAGAGTGCCAGCCTTGAGCCAAAAAGCTAAGGGCAGCACGTTACTGGCCCTAGTACCAGCACACCCACCCACATCCACACCCAAAAACTACATTTCCTTTTCTCTTTCTGAAACACTCTCCATGCTACTCCTGTAAGTTGCATATTCATGATGACACAAAAATGTATGGAGACATTTTTTCCAGCAACCAGTAAATAATGCAAAGCAACATGAAGGATTGTTCTATAGGACAGAGTAGTATCACAATTACAATTCAGAGTTCAAGTCCTTTGGCCAAGTTTCCTGGAGGCAGAATTACTATACATGTTTCCTGACCTTCAACTTCCTAATAGGTAAATTTGCATACAGTTAACCCAAATATTCCATAGGAAGTTTCAGAAAAATGCAAGGATCTGGCCAAGTGCTTCAAGAAATTTCAAGCTTATTTGAAAGTATTATTTTGAAAAATGCATCTAAGAAAGTATGTTATCAGAGTTCTATTCCTATTTGAATGAAAGCAGCTTTGTTACACAGCTCATATCATACTTGTGACAATATTTTTAATATTACCTCATAATTCCATACTCCTCCAATATCATTGTTCTTTTCAAAACACACAGGTTCAAGTCCCTCCTCCAAGCAGCTCTTAATGGCACCTAATCCACTGACCCCAGCGCCAATCACGGCAATCTTTTTCGCCCTCATGGTCTCTTGAATAAAGAAGAAGTTTTTCAATGTTTTTTTTTCTCAATGTTTTGAGTAACAGCATCAATCAGTATCTCCCTCCCTCTTAGGATTCCCATCATTTCTTTTGGCATAGTTTTGCTTACTTATTACAGCATACGTTTTCTTTTTTAAAATTAGTTTACTTTGTTGTTATAGAGGTGATATACAGACGGATTACAATTACACGAGTCAGGTAGTGAGTACCTTTCCTTTCATACAGTGTCATCTGTTCCCTCATTCTCTCCTAATCCCTTCTTCCCATCTCCACCCACGAACTGTATAGTTCATTTTCCTCAATGTCCAGTGCACTCCACTACTGCACTTTTTCACCCCTTTTCCCTTGGAGTTCTGTGCCCTCCCCTTACAGCATATGTTTTCTTAATGTGAGTCATATATATACATATATATGTGTGTGTATATTATATATATATATACATGTATATATTTAACCCTTCATATCAGAAAGTTGTTCATCCACATATTCCTCCAAGTACAGGTAAAAAATATTAAACAATTATGCTTATGCTAGAATTTAAAGACTTTTTCTTTTTTTTCTTCTATTTTCTTTTTTTATTTTACTTTTTTTTTTTTTGTGAACATACTGTACAGAGGGGTTACAATTGCATGGGCAGGAAAATGCGCACATTTCTTATCAAGCATTGCAGCCTCCTCCTTTGTTTACCCTTCATATCCCTTCCCAGCCTCCCCTGCACCAACATTGTAAAGCTCATTTTCGACATGACAACTTATACTTCTCATTGTTGCAACAGGTCCACCTGTATCCTTAAACGACTTGTTTTTCCCCATCTCCTCCACAAGTTATACTGACATCAAATATAGTGAAAGCAGGGGTTATACTGTGGGGGAGGGACATACAAAGCAACAAAGAGATAATCTTATAAATGCGTTAGAAACAAATGCATGAAAGAAAAAAACATTAAAATACATATCTAAGGGTTCATTTTCCTAACATCACATTATCTGACCTTTTCTGCTTGACTCATACATATACTAGATATTGCAAATAAGGGAAACCATGGGACCTATGTTTCTTTGGGCCTGGCTTACTTCACTTAATATAATTTTTTCCAAGTTTTTCCATTTCCTAACAAATGGGGCAATGTCATTCTTTCTGATGGAGGCATAGAACTCCATTGTGTATATATACCACATTTTCTTGATCCATTCATCTACTGAGGGGCATCTGGGTTGGTTCCAGATCTTAGCTATGGTAAATAATGCTGCAACAAACATAGTTGTGTTGGTAGCTTTAGTGTGGTCTTGTTTGTAAACATTTGGATAAATGCCCAAAAGTGGGATTGCTGGGTCATAGGGAAGCTCTATGTGAAGCTTTTTGAGGAACCTCCATACTGCTTTCCAAAGTGGTTGAACAAGTTTACATTCCCACCAACATGAAGTAAGGTTCCTTTATGTCCACATCCCCTCCAGCATCTGTTGTTATTAGAGTTCTTGATTTTTGCCATTCTAACTGGAGTGAGGTGGTATCTCAATGTTGTTTTGATTTACATTTCTTTTATGGCTAGGGATGCTGAGCATTATTGGCCATCCTTTCTTCAGAGAAGTTTCTCCTTAAGTCTTTAGCCCACTTATTTATTGGGCAGTTGTTTTTTTTGAGGATTTGTTGTTGGGGGATTTAATTTTTTGAGTTCCCAAGTATATTTTAGATATGAGACCCTTGTCTGTTGTATGGCTAGTGAAGATCTTCTCCCAATCTGTGAGCTTTCTATTGATCTTGCTAGCTATGTCCTTTGCCATGCAGAAGCTCTGCAACTTCATGCAATCCCATTTGTCCAACCTTTCTTTGATTTGTTGTGTTTCTGGGTCTCTATTCAGAAAATTTCGGCCTGAGCCAAGGAGACCTAGGGTTTCTCCTATTCCATCCTGTAATGTTTTCAGAGTGTCTGCTTTGACTTCGAGGTCTTTATCCATTTGGAGTTGATTCTGGTGTCATTAGTCCTTATAGTACAATAAAATTACTTAGGTAGTTGTGTATTATAAGAAATCCAGATATGAATTTAATACATAAGAGGTTGTATGTAGATATGCAGATACTCTTCCATCTGGATAAAGAACTTGAACAACTGCAAATATGGTATCTGCAAGAGACCCTGGAATCAATTTTTCACAAATACTCAGGGATGGTTGTTTATATATTAACCAGATCTGTGGTAATTTTTATTAGAGACATAAAAGAATTGTCTCATTTAATCCAAACAAATTTGCACAAATTTCCAGATGATTTGAAAATTTTTCATGAAAATTTCCCAATTCTATTAAATTCTATTATTCTATTAAAATTTGTTTTTAAAAAGGTTGTTTATATATTGAAGTTCACTGTACTATCACCTGATTACAAATGTACATAAGAAAATTGTATTACATCTTAATTCCAAAGTTTCTATTCTGTCTCTGCTCCATTCTATCTCTATTGTCTAATTCTTCTTAATTAGGTCAGGTGAATTATTTTTTTTAATCACCAATCCAGGGATGGGAAAAATAGCCAGAAACATTGAGTAATAAAATTTCTTTTCTCTCATTTGGTGAACCGAGATGCAATCTTGTGAGTATCTTGATTTTGATACTGGGGAAACAATAGTAGAAATGATTGTGACGAGTGTACTCATTCCTTATTGCATCAAAGATCAACATCACTACTTAGATTCTAAGGCTCTTGGCAAATAGAACTTCACTCTTTATTCTCTTTCTGGCATGTCCTCATTGCATTAAGCATTGTGATGTTTCTATTTTGATATCTTTCAGCTTGTTATTCCTTTTGCCCAGAAAGTCTTCTCTTTTACATGTACCAATTACATCTATTCCAAACTCAGATCTGTTAAATGTTGAAACAAAGAAGTCATCTCCTCTTTGAGTTTTTTCTTGACCATTTTGATTCTCTTTGATCTTCTCTTCTATACCTGTAGTTGCCAATACATACTTTTAAACTTCATTTTGTTTTTGTTTTTATTCCTTTGGTACTTTAGCCTAATTTGGGCCTGTTCTATTTCGCTTTCAACTACAGGGTGAGGTTGTTAGGATGTGGCACCATTACTCTGTGAGGCCGAATCGCATGCCAGAGGACAGTAGACAGATTCAGTGTCAGAGAAATGGGGCAGTCTCCTTAAGATCAAGCCCTATTTATTACAATCTTGGTTTTGTGAAGGGATTTGTGCTTTACTCCCATTTTAGAGACCTTTGGGGCATGAATTCTGGTTGTTACTCCTTGTTCACTCTGATTCATGCCTGATGGAGGAGGAAGAATGGCTTTTCTAGTGTCTGAGAAAGCAGATTGTGTTGTCTTCTGTGGGGTCTGAAGCAAGTCCAGGAGCTTACTCTCACTGAAACTCTTTCTTCTAAACAGCCCTTCAAGGTCTGAAGTTTACTATAGACTTCTATGCATCTAACATGGACTACCTGAAGAACTCATTCTGACAGGAAGTTTCCAAAATCTAGATATGAGGAAGAAGATAAACAAATTCTATTTAAGGTGTAGAAGCCATTTTATTTGTCAGTGTGGGTCTTGAACTCTGGGCCTGGGTGCTGTCCCTGAACTCTTCAGCTCAAGGCCAGCACTCTACCACTTGAGCCACAGCACCACTTCTGAAGCCATATTTTTCAAGCCTTGTACTTTGGACAATAAAACCAATGCTGTCTTTTGATGCCCACTTTCCTACATCCATTCTTCACTTAGACTTTCTGAGAAATATATATATATATATATATATATATATATATATATATTCATTTCCTTCTTTTTTATGAAAAGTAGAATACATTATGAAGTATTTATAAATCAAAATTACAAAATATTTATGGAATAAAAAAATTCATTCTTATATTTATATCAATTTATTATCTGTAACATCTACTACTTGCATATAACAATGAAAACCACAAACTATCACAAAAGGGTTGAGTCTTATTCATTTTTTGTTTCTCACAATTAATTCATGCTGATTACTTTTTCAAAATGATGTGCAAAACTAAAATTAAAATTAAAAGTGCAAACTCCAAGAAACCAGATTATTTAACATATTTCTCTCTTCTTTCTATCTCTATCTCTGTCTGTCATAATTTATCTCTCCATATAATCTGAACATATTAATATACTATTTGTGATAGGTCATTTGGTTCTTAGTCTAACAATTCTATGGTTGTATTCCCATAGAAACTCTCAAGCAATAGTTGTTGAATAATCGATAAATTTCAATGGTTGTAGAATTCTCTGTATATACTTTTCAGACACATTTTAGACTTTTTTCACATTTCATCTATTAAAAATAAACAAAACTACTGCTCACCAATGGCTCAGGCCTGTCAAATCCTAGCTACTCAGGAGGCTGAGATCTGAGGATTGTGGGTTAAAGCCAGCCTGGACAGGAACCTTGGTGAGACTCTTATTTCCAATTAACCTCCAGAAAAGCGGAAGTGGCACTGTGGCTCATGTGGTAGAACACTAGACTTGAGCTGAAGAGCAGAGAGACAGTGCCCAGAGTTCAAGACCCATGACTGACAAAAATATAAATGAATAAATAAATAAACAAGCAAACAAACAAAACTACCTTATTTTTCCAAACCTTTTTTTTACTTCAAAAGGATTGTTACTTAAAATTCCCCTTCATTATTTCCACTATATGCAGGTGATAAAAACACAGGCAGGCTGGGATGTAGCTCAGTGGCAAAGCACTTGCCTAGCACATGCAACATCCTGAGTTCCATACCCAGTACCAAAGAAAAACCAAAAACGAAATACATGCATCTCTCTTGCAATGGTGCCTGGGAACAGTAAATGGTAGCCAATGTTTTAATAAATACCTAGAAAATCAGATTGTGCATAAATCTTCAATGAAGACATAAAAGCAAGGTGTGAGAGTGGGGTTAAGTTTGCATTACTAAATACCTGCTCAATATTTACTGGGATCCATACCTCCTTTTAGGTAATCTTCTCATTTTATTGTCTT